CACGATATCTGATGGCTTTATAAAGGGCAGTTCCCCTGCACACGCTCCCTTGCCTGCCACCGTGTAAGATGTGCCTTTGCTCCCTTCTTCGCCTTCCACCATGATTGTGAGGCCTCTCGAGCCATGTGGAACTGTGAGTCCATCAAACCTCTTTTCTTTATAAATTACCCAGTCTTGGGTATGTCTTTATTAGCAGCATGAGAACAGACTAATACACATGTGCTATTTGACTTTCTGAGTTGTTTCACTTAAGACAATGCCCTCCAGTTCCATCCATGTTGCTGCAAAAGACCTGATTTCACTCTTTTTTTTTAATGGCTGAATCATAGTCCATTCTGTATATATACCATATTTTCATTACCCAATCATCTGCTGATGTCTTTTAACAGAAAGAATTTAACATAGGAATTAATTAAATAGGTAGTGAAGGACCAGAAAAGCAAGAAGGCAAGACTAGTTAACAAGGACCTGGTTAACACTAGTGTTAACCCAGAAATAATTCCTGTGGAATCAGTTGACAAGCCGAGGCTTGGGAAACACTGGGAAGAGTTGAGGTTATCAGACTCTAGAATCTTAGAGAAGGAAGAAGTCAGTGCCGTGGGCGTATCTGTGCATATATGTGAGACGGGGCTGCTGGCCAGCTGATGCATGTATATTTCAGGGGGTACAATGATGCCAGTTTTGTGTGTGGGGCAAAAATGTTGGAAACTTGAATGATGTGATGCTACCGGCAACTCAAAGAGGAAGAATCCTCTTTTTTTGCCCTCTTCCCATTTCCTCTCTCTCTCTTGTGCCTTGTACTATCAGAAGCTAACAGCAAGCCAACTGGGTGTATGGAGACCGCCTTGAGGTCATGGGTGTGGACTGTGGGTGAGCATACATAGCAATAGGGTAATTGACTTACTGAACTGGCCAGGGTGAAGGTGACCTCATTCTTATAATTGATCATCTGCAAGAGCAACTTCACAAACAGCCGAAATATTTTATTCCCAAATAACCTGACCAATCAGAATGAAGGTGAACCAGTTCATGTTCCAAATTCTCAAAGCTAGAACTCCCTTCCCTTTTCTTGTGTCTCATGCTGAACTGGGGGCTGAACTTTGGAACCTTTGGAAATTGCTTATCCATCCTTATTAGTGAATAAAATTTAAACATGATTAAATAGAAACTGCTCATAGGTAGAGAAAGTGGATTTGTTTTTATCTCATGGATTCTGTACATTTCATAAGAAGCTGGTAGAAACCTCAGTGTCATTCACTCCAATGTGCTGTTTTAACCTGGCTTGCCTCATGTATCAGTCAGCACAGATTGTTATGCTGCAGTAACAAATGATCCCCAAAGCTCACTGGCTTATAATAATTGATGTTTAGTCTTGGATCCATCAAGTGGAAGAGCCATATTTTGAATAAATGATCACATCGCCAAAGACATAATTTTAAAGTGTGATTTGTGGTTTGGAGAAAAAATGTACAAAGAACTCTAAACTTGGGTCTTGTCTGAAGTGATGGACAAGGAGACTTCCCTTCAGAAATGTATTTGAGCTACAGTATAAAGGATAACAAGGTGGTTTGGAGGAGTGATCTAAGTAGAGGTAACTGAGATAGGAAATAGCCTATTTTGGGAAAGAAAGAAATCCAAAGTGACTTCAGAAAGACTGAAGGAGTAGAGATAAGAAGATGTAGGGATCTAGAAGTTAAGACTTTTTTCCTTTTCCAAAGGGCTGTGGGAGGTCACAGAAAGATTTTAAGAAGATGCACAGCAGGTCATATTTGCATTTTCAAAGATTTATTTCACATTTATCATTTATTATTGTTATTATTTTAGAGATAGTTCTGTTGCTCAGGCTGCAGTGCACAATCATAGCTCACTGCAGTCTCAACTTCCTGGGCTCAAGTGATCCTCCCACCTCAACCTCCCAAGTAGCCCAAGTAGCTGGAACTTACAGGCACGCACCATCATACCCGGCTCAGATCTGCATTTTAAAACGACTGTTTCTGCTGCTATGGGAGAGTGTCTTGCAGAACAGATAAACAAAGCCGCACTTGTCTTGGAGCTGATGTGGCAAAAACTACAGGATCCCCACTTTTATGGGACTCTCCGTGGTCTGAGGAGAGACCCTGACAATCTGCTTATGTGGCTGTACAAATTCTGCATTGCTGTTTGTCCTTTTCTTAAAGAGGGACTTTTCTGCCCAATTGTACAGGTCCTACAAAGCCTGGATCAGTTCCTGATGCTGAATATGAAACTTCCAGGTGAAACCTACACATCCTTGCTTAATAATTGGGGAAAATCTTTAGTCGGAGGTCTTGAAGAACAAAGCCATTGACATGGTTTGGGTCTGTCTCTGCTCAATCTCATGTCAGATTGTAATCCCCAGTGTTAGAGGTGGGATCTGGAGGGAGGAGGATTGGGTCACGTGGGCAGATATCTCCTTTGGTGCGGTTCTTGTGCTGTCGAGTGTGTTATCGTGAGATCTGGTTCTTTAAAAGTGTGTAGCTCCTCCCCACCTCCTTTCTTCCTGCCCCAGCCACGTAAGGCGTGTCTGCTTTCCCTTCGCCTTCCGCCATGATGGTAAGTTTCCCGAGATCTCCCCAGCCATGCTTCCTGTACAGCCTGTGGAACCCTGAGCCAGTTAAACCTTTTTTCTTTTTGAGACTGAGTCTCGCTCTGTCGCCCAGGCTAGAGTGCAGTGGTGCGATCTCAGCTTGCTGCAACCTCTCCCTCCCAGGTTTAAGCGATTCTCCCATCTCAGCCTCCCGAGTAGCTGGGATTACAGGCATGTGCCACCACGCCCGGCTAATTTTTTTGTATTTGTAGTAGAGACAGGGTTTCACCGTGTTGGCCAGGCTGGTTTTGACTCCTGACCTCAAGTGATCCGCCCACCTTGGCCTCGCAAAGTGTTAGGATTACCGGAGTGAGCCACCGCGCCTGGCCTAAACCTTTTTTCTTTAAACATTACCCAGACTCAAGTATTTATAGCAGTGCGAGAACAGACTAATGCAACGGTGGATTTCAATGCTGGCTTATTCCACCTACCATAGCATATTTCAGGTTCATCTATGTGGTGGCAAATGGCAGAATCTCCTTTGTTTATTTATTTTAAAGCTGAATAACATTCCATTGTGTGTGTGCGCGCGCGCGCACACACACACACACACACACATTCTCTTTCTGTCTCTCACACGCACACATGCACAGTGTTTTCCTTATTCATTCATCCATAGATGGACACTTCGATTTTTTCACATTTTGGCTATTGTGAGTAATGCTTCAATGACCATGGGAGTGCAGATATCTTTACTAGATCCTAATTTCATTTCCTTTGGATATATATTCAAAACGTCTAATTGCTGGGTCATATGGTGGTCTTTTTTTTTTTTTTTTTTTTTTTTTTTTTTTAAGACAGGATCTTGTTCTGTCACCCAGTCTGGTGCGCAGAGGTGCAATCTTGGTTCACTGCGGTCTCGACTTCCTTGGCTCAAGCGATCCTCCCGCCTCAGCCTCCCAAGTAGCTAGGACTACAGGCACATGCCACCGCACCTAGTTAATCTAAAAAATTTTTTTAGTAGAGACAAAGCCTCACTATGTTGCCCAGGCTGGTTTAAAACTCCTGGGCTCAAGTGGTTGTCCTGCCTTGGCTTTCCAAAGTGCTGAGATTACAGGTGTGAGTCACCATGCCTGGACAGTACTGTTTTTTAATTGATATAGTTGTACAGATTTTTGGGGTAATGATCAAATTAGGGTAATTATATATCCATCACCTTAACATTTATCTTTTCCTTGTGTTGGGAACACTGTTATTCTTCTCCTCTTGCTATTTTGAAATACACAAATAATTACTGTTAATGATAGTTTTCCCACTGTGCTCTCGAATGCAAGAACTTATTCATCCTACCTAACTGTGCTTTTGTACCCAGTAGCCCATTTATCTTCATGTCTTCTCCCTGCTTCCCTTCCCTGCCTCTGGTAATTACCATTCCAGTCTGTCTTCACCAGATCTACTTTTTTAGCTTCCACATAGTGAGCGAGATCATGTGATGTTTGTCTTTCTGTGGCTGGCTTATTTTACTTAATATAATGTCATCTGAGCTCATCCATGTTGCTGCAAATGACACAATTTTGTTCTTTATTATGGCTGAATAGTATTCTATTGTGCATATATACCATAGTTTCTTTATCCATTCATCTGTTGATGGACACTTAGGTTGATTCTGTATCTTGGCTATTGTGAATAGTGCTGCAATAAACATGGCAGTGTCGATGTCTCTTTGATATATTGATTTCCTTTATTTTGCATATATACCTAGGAGTGGGATTACTTGATTATCTGGTAGTTCTGTTTTTAATTTCTTTTTTCTTTCTTTTCTTTTCTTCCTTTTTTTTTTTTTTTTTTTTTTGAGACAGAGTCTCGCTCTGTCTCCCAGGCTGGAGTGCGGTGGAACGATCTCAGCTGACTGCAACCTCCATCTCCCAGGTTCAAGCAATTTTCCTGCCTCAGCCTCCCAAGTAGGTGGGATTACAAGCACCCACCACCACACCTGGCTAATTTTTGTATTTTTAGTAGATACGGGGTTTCACCATGTTGGCCAGGCTGGTCTTGAACTCCCGCCCTCAAGTGATCTGCCCGCCTCAGACTCCCTAAGTGTGGGATTACAGGCATGAGCCACCGTGCCCGACCTGTTTTTAATTTCTTTAGGAATCTCCATACTGTTTTCCATAATGGCTGCACCATTCTATTTTCCACCAACAAAGGTTTCCTTTTCTTCACACCCTCACCAGCGCTTATCTCCTATCTTTTTGATAATAGCCATCCCAACAGGTGTGAGGTGATATCTCATTGACATCAAAATGAGTATTGATAACAAAACTAAAATTTTTGGAAAGATATTAGGGTAGGGGTTGTCAAACCTTCCCTGTAAGGGGCCAAATAGTAAATAATTTCAGCTTTGTGGGCTATATGTTGTCTGTTCTAACTACTCAACTCTACCATTGTAGGGTGAAGGCAGCCGTAGCCAGTATGTAAGTGAATAAACATTCCTGTGTGCCAGCAAAGCTTTGTTGATAAAAACAAACTGCAGGCTGGATCAGGTGAGTGAGACATAGTTTTCTGACCCTCATATTTGGAGACTCCCAGAATCATTGGGTGTTTGGATCGCAGGTTGGCACATAAGTGAGTGTATAGAACTCAGTGCATGCATCTCCCCAAATCTCTTGGCCCTTCAAACCCACCTCTACGTTGGCCACTTGGTTTGCCATTTCCGTGGATAAAGCCCCAGTTACTGCCATGGCTAGATCCCTGGGTGTACCACATAAGATGACCATAGACAATTTACTCCCTAAGGTGGAGGTTCAGATGGATCAGGAATGATGTACTCATGCCAATAGACAGGTGTCAGCTACCTGAGTGCTCAGAGGAAAAAGACTTTGAGGTTACACTTGATTTCATTAGGAAAAATAGACGTGATTGATTAGTCATGTCTGCCATGGGCACCAGGCTAGAGAGAAGTGGCACACTTGCTAAATGTCTTTGATGCTGTAACTCGTCCACCTCCAATGTCCCTTATAGTTCTGAAAAGCGACATTTCTGTGTCCGCATACTTCCTTGGAAACATTCTGGAGATGGAACAATTATGTAAAAGATAGTCATTCAGCATGAAAATGTGACCGGTAACTTTACAAATTCCCAACACATCTGTTTTTATGAAAGAGACAGGAACTTGGTGTGGGTCACATCTGTAATCTCAGCACTTTGGGAGGCCAAGGCAACAGAATTGCTTGAGACCAGAAGCGTGAGACCAGCCTCAGCAACATAGTGAGACCCCATCTCTACAAAAAAATAAGAAAATTAGCCAGATGTGGTGGTGCGCACCTATAGTCCCAGCTAGATGAGAGGCTGAGGTGGGAAGATTGCTTGAGCCCAGGAGGTAGAGGGTGCAGTGTGCTATGATGGCACCACTGTACTCCAGCCTGGGTGGCAGAGCAAGATCTCGTCTCTCAAAGAAAAAAAAGGAAAGTAGACACAGGATGAAGCTCCTGATTCTCCATTCGTGTTAGACACACCTGGGAGGAAGCTGGCCGCTGGGAAAAAAGAAAGTAAATCCATAACCCCTTTCCGTATCAGCCTCACGGTTTCAGCACAGAACAAAGATTTCAACACTTTCTTTCAAAGTTTGACAACTGTTTATTGAACACTCATTATGCAGATCAAGGGCTTGTTCCTTGCCCTCCAGAAGTGGTCATTTCCAGCATATAATCCTGGGTGAGAGGGCAGGACCAATCAGAAAAAAGAGAGGAAATGGCTTTCTGGAAAAAGTAGGGGTGGGAGGTAGTGGAAGAGGGGTAAAGAGAGAGAGAGGGCCCTCCAGTTTGTGGGAAATGGTGATAGCAAAGGCTTAGAGGCAAGGGTGAGTAAGAGGACATTAGCCTTGTTGAAAGAGTGACGTCATGGTGGAAGAGATGGGAGATGAGTTTAGCTAAGTGCTGGTAGATGGCAAAATTGGAAGGGTGTGAGAGATCCTGATGTGTGGTTTGACTTTGGTCTTTATTTGATTGATTTATTTATTTTGGAGACCGGATCTCACTCTCTCACCCAGAGCTGGGATGCAGCGGCATGATCATAGCTCCTTGCAGCCTCAAACTCCTGGACTCAAGTGATCCTCTCACCTCAGCCTCCTGAGTAGCTGGGCTACAGGCATGTGGCACCATACCCAGCTAATTATTATTATTACTTTTGGTAGAGATGGGGTCTTGCTGTATTGCCCAGGCTGGTCTCTTAAATCCTGGCCTCAAGTGATCCTCCCACTTTAGACTCTCAAAGTTGGGATTACAGGTGTGAGACACTGAGTCCAGTACCCTGGTCTTTAAATCATAGGGTATGTTGTGTCTTCTTGAGTGTTCCAGGGAGATGACTGTTATAGATGGTATGAAGGACACATGAAAAGTGAGATGGAAAAGCAGAGAGGCAAGGGAGGAAGTTGGTTGCAAAGATGCAGATACGAGAAGATGAGGACTCGAGCCTGCACAGTAACACGTCAGGGAAGAGAAGACCAGCATGAAAGTTGTTTGAAAATCAAGCTGGACTGGTCATGGTGTCTGGTGGCATATGAAGGATGCAGAAAGAGAGGGGTCATAGATTAACTGCAGAAATCGAACCTGGGATCTGAGGTTGAGGATACCAGGGAACGCTTGGAGGAGTAACCAGGAAGAAAGGGTTCATCCTTAGCCCTGAGTTTTCAGTGATGCTGGATGTACCCATAGTTTATTTGAGCAGGAAAGGTCAAAGCTGGGGATGGGGAGATACAGGCTGTAGAGTTGGAGGACAGTGAAGCCGATCTGACTTCCAGCCTGGTGCTGCAAGGTTACCTGGAGGTAACCTTGGCTGGTGGTTATTGAGAATTCCTAGAAACTTCCAGAAAGCTCCTACCTTGGAGGTAGGGAAAATTTTTATTAGGCATCTTCACTAATTAGAAAAGTTTTCAGATGGATCAAGACTTAGCAGGTTGTGGAAAGGAGGCTGGGCTGGAAGTCAAACCTCGTCCTTGCCTCTGTCTTACTGTATTGCATTTGACAAATTATTTAGCCTCTCTGGTTAGGAGAGGTTAAATATAATGCTGTCTGCAAAATAGCAAGCTGACAACAGGGAATTTGCCATAGCTCCAACACGCTCTCATTCAGAGTAGTTGAATGCAAGAATAGTTGAATGGGTGGATTTCATTGGAGAGAGGGCAGAATCCAGGGTTTCAGGGGGAGGGGTGTTAGGAGGAAGAGATCCAGAAAGGCGGAGACAACTTCGTTATCTAGAGAGGCCATGAGCTAGGAAGAGAGTGGAGTTAGGACACCAACTTGCTAGCCAAGGAGGAATGGTTTTGGAGAGAAAGAATGGTTCTTGCCTTACTAATTCTCCAGGGTAAAGGAGGGAACTGGAAGTTGGGAATGCACTGGCCTCAGGAGGAGGTTTTATCTCCAAGTGAGATGCAGGAGCCAGCAGAGGTTGGACTGGGGTAGGAGGGATTGAGTGGGCATTGGTTTGTCCGTGGAAAATCTTCAGCGCTATCCAGTTTCTGCTTTGGGAGGAAGAAAGAAGACCACAGGAACAGAAAGTGGGAAAAGTGAATGCACTCTTAGGTCTCTTAGGTTGCATTAATAAAGATAGAAAGTCCAGCCTGAGGGAGGTGATGTTAATGTTACCACTATGCCTTGTGCTAAGTTCTGGCTGGCTTGCTCTAAGAAGGACAGGGGGACCTGCATGAGGGGTGTGATGAAAAAGAAACTGGGTGCCATTTAGCCTTAGGAAGAGAAGATCTTAGGGAGTGGTAAGAGCTGCCTCTAAATTTCGGTGAGACAGAAAGAGTGCTAGAATGAAAGCTCCTCCCTGTCTTTCTACTTCTACTGCAGATACAGCCGTTTCCGGAGGGTGCTTTGGATTTCAGGGTTCGTTTTCTTTGCTTGTCCTTCCTGAACCATCTCTGCTTCTGCCATCCGCCGGGTCACCTGCAGCAACAGGTATGGTGAGCTTGGAGGAGTCAGTGTCATGGACTTATGGGGGGAGGGTTAGGGAACGGGGCAGGTGGGTATTCTTCATAAGAGACCTTTATGGTCTGCTCCTATACCATAGTTTGTATGGAATCCTTGGCTGGGCTTTTTTTTTTTTTTTCTTCTAATTTGCAATAAAAACATACAAACATTAGAAGAGAACAGTTTTCCCAAACATTGTTTATATCCAAGGGGGGTTTGTTTATAGAAATTTATCTCACATACTGTGGGTTTTAAGAGTCCCTGCATTTGGGAAAGTTGTTGGAAAGTGGGCATCTTAGTTTCTGTATTGAGATCTGGGTTGGATTTGGGGCTGAGGGAAATGGAGAGGGGTTAGGAGGAGGCTCAGCCTCCTCTGCCTGCACCCTACTTGGCCTGGGTGGTGGTCCCAGCTACCTTGTGTCAACGCACCTCTGTCAGGAGCTCCAAGATATGTCCTTTGCCCTTCGTGAACACATCCACCAGGGTCTGGATAAAGCACGAGCCTTTCTGATCATGTCGGTAGGCGATGTATCCTGGGAATTCCAGAGAGGTGAGTTCGGGGGAGCTTCAGAGGGTAGGTAGAGGAGATCCTGGAAGGGGGTGGGTCCTGGAGGAGAGGTTCAGGGGTCGGGAGTGGCAGGTGACGGGGAATAGCAGAGGGAGCCCGGGGCCAGCTGGGCGCTCATACCCTCCACCGTGGAGTAGACGTGCAGGGCATCTGTGTACGTTGGGATGGTTGGGGGCTGTCTTTGGTGACCATCACAATCTCATCTCCACCTACTGTTTCACCAGGATCCTTTTGTTCTGAAACAAGAAGAGGAGGAGGCAAAGTCAGAGAGAAAGGTAAGGAAAGGGGCCGGGCAGGGTGGCTCACACCTGTACTCCCAGCATTTTGGGAGGCTGAGGCAGGAGGATCACTTGAACCTGGGAGTTTGAGGCTGCAGTGAGCCATGATTGCACCACTACACTCTAGCCTGGGTGACAGAGTGACATGTCGCCTCTTAAAAAGGAAGGTAAGGGCCGGGTACGGTGGCTCACGCCTGTAATCCCAGCACTTTGGGAGGCTCCTGAGGTCAAGAGTTTGAGACCAGCCTGACTAACATGGCGAAATCCCATCTCTACTAAAAATACAAAATTTAGCCGGGCATGGTGGCATGTGCCTGTAATCCCAGCTACTTGGGAGGCTGAGGCAGAAGAATTGCTTGACCCCAGGAGGTGGAGGTTGCAGTGAGCCAAGATCGTGCCATTGCACTCCAGCCTGGGCAACAGAGCAAGACTCTTGTCAAAAAAAAAAAAAAAAAAAAAAAAAAAAAGATGGTCTGGTGGTATGCCATGTGCAGTGGGGCTTTTTAATTTAATTTAACTTTTTAGAGACAGGGGCTTGCTTTGTTGTCCAGATTGGAGTGCAATAGTGTAATCATAGCTCACTGCAGCCTCTAACTCCTGGGCTCAAGTGATCCTCCTACCTCAGCCTCCTGAGTAGCTAGGATCACAGACCCATGCCACCATGCCCTTGGCTAATTTTAAAAATTTTTTGTAGAGCTGGATTCTTGCTACATTGCCCAGAAGCCAGTCTTGATCTTCTGGCCTCAAAAAATCTTGCCGTCTGGGCCTCCCAAAGTACTGGAATTACAGGCATGAGCCATGGTGCCTGGCTTCAGCTGGGGCTTTGGATCTGGGACTGGCTTGGATAAAAACACAGACTTGGTTGGGCATGGTGGGAGGCTGAGGCAGGAGGATTGCTTGAGCTCAGGAGTTTGAGACCAGCCTGGGCAACATAATGAGACCCTGTCTACAAAAATTAGCCTGACATAATGGCAGGAGCCTGTAGTCCCAGCTATTCAGGAGGCTGAGGCAGGAGGATGGCTGGAGCCTGGGAGATGGAGATTGCAGTGAGTTGAGATTGCACCACTGCACTCCAGCCTGGGTGCTGTCTTAGAAAACAAAACAGAAACAACAAACCAGAGACTCTGTGCTCTTGGATCTGTCCCCACCTCCTCGACAGGCCTGTATGATGTACACCTTGGGCTTGGCTCGCAGGGCCTGGCAGTTCTTGTTGTTCAGGGCCTCGAAGAGATTGTCCAGCTTGACCATCTCCCCATCTTCTCCCTTGAGGAAGCCTTCCCTCCCGTGAGCCATGAGAACCACGAAGGCACAACTGATGGGATCTTCCCGGGAATCGATGGCCTGCTGGAATTTTTCCAGCTCTTCCTGGAATTGCTGGAGTGAGAGGAAGAACCAGACTCAGCTGGGTCCTCATAGCCCACACATCCGACCTAGTACCTCTCCCCCAACCAGGCCTGGAGTAGGCACCCCAATACCTGGGCAGTGGGGTCTCTTTTCATGGTGCTTTCGAATCTCAGCTGCCGAAACATGTATTCCAGAGCATCCAGGTCTTCTTCGAAACCTTCCCGGGCTTTGGTGACACACAGTGTTAGGGCCAGGCGGGCACCTGACATATCATATTTCTCCTGGGCCAAGAGATGACAAAAATCAGCATGGGGAGGTTCGAGGAGAAGCGGATGTAGTCAAAAGACGCATGCAGGCTGGGTGTGGTGGCTTATGCCTGTGATCCCAGCACTTTGGGAGGCTGAGGCGGGAGGATTGCTTGAGCCCAGGAGTTCAAGACCAGCCTGGGCAACATAGTGAGACTCTGTCTCTACAAAAAAATGAAAAAATTAGCTGGGTGTGCTGCTGTGCGCCTGTGGTCCCAGCTGTCTTGGAGGCTGAAGTGGGATGATTGCTGGAGCCTGGAAGGTTGAGGCTGCAGTGAGCCATGATCTTGCCACTGCATTCTAGCCTGGGCAACAAGTGAGACCCTGTCTCAAAAACGAACAAACAAAACAAGAGAGGCTTGGACTTAGGGTTGCCAGGTATAATACAAAATGCTCAGGTGCATTTAAATTTCAAATAAAACCAAGTACCTTTTTAGTATAAGTATGTCCCAAATATTGCATGGGATATACTTATACTACACAATTATTTGTTGTTGATGTGAAATTCAAATTGAATTGGGTATCCTTTATTTTTAGTTCCCAAATACAGCAACCCAACCTGGGGTCCAGCTCTGTTCTAGCTTGATATGAACTTGGGGGAAGTCAACTGCCCCCATCTGAGCCTCAGTTTCCAAATACAGACGATGAGTGTGTGTGTGATTTTGAAGATCCCTCCCAGTTGTCATATTTTGTGGCTTTGCAAGTCTCCTCATCCTCCCCAAGAGTGTTCTGAGCATTCCTCTATTACTTCCTCACTTGCAGAGGTCTCAGAGTTTCGGAAGCCAATACTGAGATCCCATCTGAGGAAGAAGAATATTGGGGGTCAACATTTCTTTTCAGAACAGAAGCAGGGTACTGAGGACCACAGTGATAAGAACTTCATCTTTTAAAACATCAACATAAGCACTTTGGGAGGCCAAGGTGGGCGGATCATGAGGTCAGGAGATCAAGACCATCCTGGCTAACACTGTGAAACCCCGTCTCTACTAAAAACACAAAAAGTTAGCTGGGCATGGTGGTGGGCGCCTGTAGTCCCAGCTACTTGGGAGGCTGAGGCAGGAGAATGGTGTGAACCCGGGAGGCAGAGCTTGCAATGAGCCAAGATGTGCCACTGCACTCCAGCCTGGGGGACACAGCGAGACTCCGTCACAAAAAAAAAAAAAAAAAAAAAAAAAAAAAATCAACATAAAATTGTATATTGCAGGACTTCTCAGAACCTTTAATGTGTTGAGAAGAACTTGATCTTTGGCAACAGATGTAGCTGTGTTTGACTGCCCCCAGCCTCCAACCCAACTTGGGTTCCATCTCTGAGTCCTTTTTTGCTGTTTGATTAACTACAAAGTACCTCCTACCTCTGAGTTCAGGTCAGAATTTTTCCACTCCCTCCACTCTTTCCAAAACATTAAGATCCTCACCTTCCTTCTCCTCGTATGATCACCCTCCCCTCAACCTGCATCCAGCCTACCTCCTCCGAAGACCGCAGATTGCTCATTTCTCCTTTGGTTGTGAGCCCCAGCTCTCAGCACCCTTGTCTGATCCTGGAGGTCAAGACAAGATAGGTTAAAGGTTTCTAAAGGGAGGTCGAAGGGCTCAGGGGACAAACTCTTATGCATCTGGATTTTTGAGACCAAATAGCACTCCAGTGTTGGAGATATCGTCTATGGACAGATCTGGGCAATAGATGATAATCCATGAAGTAGTAATATATCGCCCCTAGAACGACAATTTCATGGTGTCTTTCATTTCTGGATGTCTTCTTCAGGACTGCTGGGCCTACCCCACAATCCCACCCCCCGAACCCACCAGAAAACTTCCTATGTCTCCCTTGGGTCATTCACCAGCTTGTGATGGACCGAACTTCCCCCTGAAATCACTGGAATGAGGAGCAGGGCAAGTGGCCCGTGTGTTTCCCTCTTCTACCCAGGAGATGACGGGCTGGGGAAGCCATCTCAAGGAGATGCCTTGGAGGAGCATTTAAAAGGAGAATGTCATCAAAGTGGAGAATGCAACTTTGATATTATCTCACTGGGTCTCCAATATGAAGGGGTCAGTCCACCTCCCTCGCTCTTCCTTGAGTCTGAATGTCTGTCCCCATTCTCTATTCTCATCTCCGAGTCCTGTTCTGTTCTCTGGCTGCACAGACAGACTTTTGTCATACTCTTGGCATTTCCCCATCTCTTTGCCTTTTCCTACACTTTCTCCTCAGTAGGGAATGCTTTTTTTGTCTTTTTTTATCTTTTCTTTCTTTCTTTTTTTTTTTTTTTGAGACAGAGTCTCTGTCACCCAGGCTGGAGTGTAGTGGCATGATCTCGGCTCACTGCAATCTCTGCCTCCAGGGTTCAAGCAATTCTCCTACCTCAGCCTCCTGAGTAGCTGGGACTACAGGCACGCACCACCACGCCTGGCTAATTTTTTTTTTTTTTTTTTTTTTTTTTTGAGACAGAGTCTTGCTCTGCTGCCCAGGCTGGAGTGCAGTGGTGCCATCTCAGCTCACTGCAAGCTCCACCTCCCAGGTTCACGCCATTCTCCTGCCTCAGCCTCCCGAGTCACTGGGACTACAGGCGCCTGTCACCACGCCCGGCTATTTTTTTTTTTTTGTATTTTTAGTAGAGACGGGGTTTCACCATGTTATGCCTGGCTAATTTTTTGTGTTTTTAGTAGAGATGGGGTTTCACTGTGTTAGCCAGCATGATCTTGATATCCTGACCTCGTGATCTGCCCACTTCAGCCTCCCAAAGTGCTGGGATTACAGGCGTGAGCCACCGCACCCGGCCGGGAATGCTTTTTTTTTTTTCCTATCAAGATCCTTCTTTGACAATTTGGGTGGCATAATATCTGCTATGCCTTCCCCCATCACCCATCCACTCATCTATCTTTTTATCCATCTGTCTATCCAGTCACCCATCAATTCATTCATCTATCCATCTACCATCTGTCCATTAATTCATCCTCTATCCATCCATTCACCCACTCACCCAGCCATCTATTCAACCATCTGTCCATCTACTTACCTATTAATCAGTCATCCCATCCACCCATCCTTCCATCCGCACATCTGTCTAGTCATCCATCAATCCAATGTTACATCCATCAATTTATTCATCAACCCATCCACCAGTTTATCTTTCCACTTACCTATCTATCCACTCATCCATCCATCCATCCACCCACTCACACATCTATTCACCCATCTGTCCATCTACCCGTCTATTAATCAGTTATCCCATCTACCCATTCATTCTTCCATCAACCCATATATCTACCCATCCATCTATCCATCTATCTGTCCATCCACTTACCCATCCAACCACCCACTCATTCATCCATCCATCCATCCATCCATCCATCCATCCATACATACATACATAATCTCTCTCTGTCTTCAGTCCCTCCATCTATTCTATCTTCCACCCATCCCATCCATTCACTTATCCATCCACCCATCCACTCATTCATTCATCCATCCATCCATTTATCCATTATCTCTCTTTCTTCCATCCCTCCATCTATTCTATCTTCCACCCATCCCTCCATCTAGCCCTCCCTTTATCCATTCCTTCATCCATAATCTCTTATCTTCCATCTATCCATCCACCTGTTTACTTACCCATCCACCCACCCACCCACTCATCCATCCATCCATCCATCCATCCACCCACCCAACCACCCACACACCCACCTACCCAGCAAATATTTTCTGGGTATCTATTATGTGTTATGCACTTAGAATCCATTAAGTAAGACAGACATGCTCCCCGACCTTCTGTCCTTCTAGTCTGTGACAGAAATGAGTATTAAATATCTCTGTCACACACACAGAGCAAGTGCTGTGACGAAAGAGGAACCAAAGATTGTGAGGGAGGAAGTGGAAGAAGCATAGCCCTGGAGCCAGACAAATCAGAACCAAATCCTGCCTCAGTCCCTTCCCAGCTGTGTGCCCTTCGGCATCTCACTCTCCTCTCTGAGACTCGATTTTCCCATCCGCAAAGGACCTGGGGAGAGCTCCAGGTGCGTAACAGCAGTGGCAACCCAGGTAAATTTTATGATCCCTCTTGACCTCCTGGAACTTTCCTCTTCCTTTTCTGTACTCTCCCAGCTCTGCTTGTTCCTACTTGAATTACAGCAGTGTTTTTGGTTCTTACTCTCATGGCTGAACTGGCAGCTCAGCTTTCAGGACTGAAAGCCCGACTTCATTGATCTGTCTCCATCACGGCTAAACAGTGCGGCAGGGAGCACAGAGGTGGTATTGGAGAGAATTTGCTGAGTAAACAAAGAAGAAAGAGATGAACAGATGAAAGAAAGAGTGGATGGATGGAAATTTCTTCCGTTCTGCCAAAACTGGCCAGAGTGTTAATTCATGAAGGGAGAGGGAGCGTATGTGTGTATGTGTATGTATGTGTGTGTGTGAGGGAGAGAGAGAGAGAGCGAGAGAGATTGAGAGAGAGAGAGAGAGAGAGCGAGAGAGAGAGGCTAATGTCCACCAAATCACTTACCGACTCTAGAGGCAGCTGTTCCTCAAGGCCAAGTTCAAGCTCGCTACTCTGCTAGTTGCCAGTACAGAGCTGGGCACCGAGGAGGAGTCAGGCCCACGTGCTAATCTTGGAGAAGGGGCTGACAGTGTGGAATCTCCCGGGGTTTCTCCTGAGAGGCCTGGTCTATGAATTGGGTGGCACAATCATCTGGCCCTTTATTGCCAGTGAGTTTTCTATCACCCAAGAAACCTCAGGACACACCCTTGGCACAGCTGTGGTGTGGAAATGGAGCCACCGCCAATGGGATGAGTGATCACAAGGCTGAGTGGACTCCCTCTGGCAAAGGTGGCCTAGGCAGAGCGTCTAAATTATCCAGAGGTCTGTGCCAGCCCAACCGCAACCTCTCCCAACCCCCATCTCATAGCCAGCTCATCTGGTTATTATCGTCATCACTGTGCCTAGTTTATTCATTTCACCTTCCACTGTGTAGATAACACCGTCTTCACTTACTTATTATCTCATGGAGTCTTCAAGAGTCTGGAGAGATCAGTATTGTTGTTCCTATTTTGCACATGGGGAAACTGAGGCTCATAGAGGTGAAATGACTGCTCAAAGATCAGTAATTGGCACAGTTGGCATTCAAACCTATAAGGGGTGAGGTGTGGTGGCTCACGTCTGTAGTCCCAGCTCTTTGGGAGGCCAAGGCAGGAGGATCACTTGAGGTGAGGGATTTGAGACCAGCTGGGGCGTAGTGAGACCCTATCACTAAAAAAGTAAAAAAATTAAAAGACGGCATGCACCTATAGTCCTAGCTACTCAGGAGGCTGAGGTAGGAGGCTAGCTTGATCCTAGGAGTTTGAGGCTGCAGCGAGCTAAGATTGTGCCTCTGCACTCCAGCCTCAGTGATAGAGCGAGACTCTATCTTAAATATAAAAACAAACAAGCCCTAAAAGGTTCTTGCCCAGTTGCCTTAACTGATGCATCACGTTGATTCCTCTTTTCCCCCTCCTCTATTGTTTTTCAGTCATTTTATTTAATTTTATTTTACTTATGTTAACAGTGAAACCAAAGGCGAACCTGATTAAGCCCTCCAAACTTAATCTACCTTGCTTTTAATTGCTTGCGTGCTTTTAATTGCTTACTTTTAATTGCTTACTTGTAGTTGATCCTAAAAGCACAAGTCACGTAGTCAAATAATGCATAACTAAACTCCCACTAGCTTCCTTACAGATAACATCTCTGACCGTGGGTCACTATAGTAATGGGTGCTTAAAAAGTTATTTTTCGGGAACTAGGTAGGAGGTAGCTCTTGTTTAGTTTAAGCCAGTGGAGATCACTGACCCTTCATCTGGACCTGTGTGAGTAGCAGACATCAGAGGGCTGTAAACTCCACCCTCAGATCATGCTAAATGCTATTTTCTGCACAAATGTCCTATCTAAAGCCATGTAGCTCAACCATGCTTGCTCAGAAATCCTGATTACCTTGCCTTCCCTACCTGCCAGTCACGTTTCTCCGTACTTTAGACCACCCTGTTTTCTATTCCGTAAGTACCTTCAAACCCTATTTTTGGGGAGGAGAATTTGAGACCTGTTTTCCCACCTCCTCGCTTAATTGCCTCATGATGAACTCTTTCTCTTCTGCACAATCCGTCATTACAGTGATTGGCTTGCTGCACAGAGGCAGAACAAACTTAGTTCGATAGCAACAGCTTAAATGAGATATAATTTACATATTTACATATTATAATTTACATATTAAGATATAATTTACATATCATACAACTCACCCACCTAAAGTGTCCAATCCAGTGGGGTTTTAGTATATTCACAGTGATGCAGCCATTGCCACAGTTCATTTTGGAACATTTTGTTTTTTTGGAGACAAGATCTTGATCTGTCACCCAGGCTGGAGTGCAGTGGAGCAATCACAGCTCACTGCAGCTTAAAACTCCTGGCCTCATGCGATCCTCCTGCCTCAGCCTCCTGGGCAGCTGGGACTACAGGTGTGCGCCACCATGCCTGGTTAGTTTTTTCCTTAAGATTTTTTGTAGAGACAAAGTCTTGCTATGTTGCCCAGGCTGGTCTCGAACTTCTGGCCTCAAGGGATCCTCCCCACTTGGCCTCCCAAAGTGTGGGATTATAGGCGTGAGCCACCACACCTGGCTCATTTTAGAACATGTTTATCACCCAGTACCCTTTAGCTATCACTCCCAATCTCTCCATACATCCTAGCCTTAGGCAACCACTAGCTGACTTTCTGTCTCTGTAGGTTTCCCTGTTCTGGATATTTCACAGAAATAGAATCATACGCTATGTGATTTTTGTGTCCGGCTTCTTTCATTCAGCATGATATTTTCAAGAACAGTATTGGGGGGATGTTGGTTTGTTGTCTCATGTTTCATTTTGTTTTGGTTTTTAGAGAGCCAAGTGTTAGATATCTTTCAGCAAACCATTGCAGACACTCCCATTCCAAGTCCTTCCCTTAAGATCCAACCTTCTTTATTTATTTATTTTTTTTATTTTGATACTGAGTCTCGCTCTGTCGCCCAAGCTGGAGTGCGGTGGCTGGATCTCAGCTCACTGCAAGGTCCGCCTCCCGGGTTTATGCCATTCTCCTGCCTCATCCTCCAGAGTAGCTGGGACTACAGGCACCCGCCACCTCGCCTGGCTAATTTTTTGTATTTTTAGTAGAGACGGGGTTTCACCTAGTTAGCCAGGATCTCGATCTCCTGACCTCGTGATCCACCCGCCTTGGCCTCCCAAAGTGCTGGGATTACAGGCTTGAGCCACCACGCCCGGCCAAGATCCAACCTTCTTAGCTGACCAGACCCTATAAAGCAATGAGATTTCAAGGAGGAAGAAGATAGCATCCACATTGTAGCACATATTAGTACTCCATTCCTTTTTCTGGCTGAATAATAGTCCATTGTACAGATATACCTCATTTCGTTTATTCATCCGTGGAGGGACATCTGTGTTGTTTTAGGCTTTTGGCTCTTTGAAGGATGCTGTTATACATATTTACACACAAGTTTTGTGTGGATTTTTTTTCTTTTTTGAGACAGTGTCTCACTAAGTTGCCCATGCTGGAGTGCAATGACATGATCTCCACTCACTGCAACCTTTGCTTCCCAGACTCAGGCAATTCTTCAGCCTCAGCCTCCCCAGTAGCTGGGACTACAGGCGTGCACCACCATGCCTGGCTAATTTTTTGTGTGTTTTTTGTAGAAACGGGATTTTGCCATGTTGCCCAGGCTGGTCTTAAACTCCTGAGCTCAAAACGATCCACCTGCCTGGGCCTCCCAAAGTGCTGGGATTACAGGCATGAGCCACCATGCTTAGCCTGATGCGGGTTTTAATTCCATTCCTAGTAGTGCAATTTTCAAGCAATACAGTTTTTTTGTTTTTGTTTTTTTTAGCAAAACTGGCCCATTCTCATCCCTCCAATTCTTCCCTTTGCTTCCAGGTAACCCAGGCACAAGCCTGAGCAATTTCCTTTCAGTTCCTATTTCTGCATTGACTTAGACATATTCGCAGTGTTAGTTACATAGGTGGGTTCATTCTACAAAATTGTCCTGTTACTTGCCTGGTTCACCGAATTATAGGTCTGGGTCATCTTTCCATGTTAGCACATATGGAACAAACTCAATTTTTTGTGTTCTTTAAACAACTATTGAGAATAACCTATGTGAAGAAAAGTGCATGACTCTTTTTTTTTTTTTTTTTGAAATGGAGTCTCACTCTGTCACCCAGGCTAGAGTGCAGTGGCACGATCTTGGTTCACTGCAACCTCCACCTCCCTGTTTCAAGCGATTCTCCTGCTTCAGCCTCCTGAGTAGCTGGGATTACAGGCACGCACCACCGCACCTGGCTAATTTTTGTATTTTTAGTAGAGACGGGGTTTCACCATGTTGGTCAGGCTGGTCTCAAACTCCTGACCTCGTGATCCGTCCCCCTCGGCCTTCCAAAGTGCTGGGATTACAGGCATGAGCCACCGCGCCCATCCTAGTGCACAACTCTTAAATGTGCAGCTTGATAATTTGTTTCAAAGTGAACATACCCATGTGACTGACAATTCAATGGAGTCATTCAATCAATTCTGCAATGGCTTAAAAGGTACACACTTTTCACTAAAAGAGAAACAAAACCCAGGGAAACACCAAATCAAACTGGACATAACATCCTACTCTTACCCCATGACAAAATTTTAGCTAAAGCATGCTTTTGCTGTCTTCTTCCTCCTTGAAATCTCATTGTTTCACAGGGTCTGGTCAGTTAAGAAGGTTGGATTTTAGGAGAATCAATCGGGACTCGAAGTGTTTGCAATGATGTGTTGGAAGATGCCTGACACTTGACTCTGTAAAAACAAGACAAAATGAAGCCAAAAAACCACAACAAACCAACATCCCCCAACACTACGCAACCATAAAAAGAATGGAATCCTGTCATTTGTGGTAACATGGATGGAACTGGAGGACATTATGTTAGGTGAAATAAGCTATCAACAGAAAGTTAAACAGCACATGTTCTCATTCATATGTGGAAGCCAAAAAAGTAAGAGTTGATTTTGTAAAAGCAAAAAGTGGAACAGAGGATGTTAAAGGCTGGGAAAGGTAGGGGGAAGAGAGGATAGGGAGAAATTTGTTAAAGGATATAAAATCACAGCTAGTGCTATTCACAACAGGAAAAACATGGAATCAACCTAGGTGCCCATCAACAGTGGATTGGATAAAGAAACGTGTTACGTGTATACACCATGGAATACTATGCAGCCATAGAAAATAAAATCATGGCCAGGTGCATGGCTCACGCCTGTAATCCCAGAAATTTGGGAGACCAAGGTGGGTGGATCTCCTGAGGTCAGGAGTTTGACAACAGCCTGGCCAACATGGTGAAACCCCAGCTCTACTGAAAATACAACAATTAGCCAGGCGTGGCGGTGCATGCCTGTAATTCCATCTACTGGGGAGACTGAGGCAGGAGAATTGCTTGAACCCGGGAGGTGGAGGTTACAGTGAGGTGAGACTGGCTCAGCCTGGGTGACAGAGCAACACTCTGCCTCAAAAAAAAAAAAAAAAAAAAAAAAAGAAAAGGAAAGAAAACAACAAAATCATGTCTTTTGCAGCAACATGGATGCAGCTGGAGGCCATTATCCTAAGCAAATTAATGCAGGAACAGAAAAGCAAACACCACATGTTTTCTCTTATAAGTGAGAGTGAAACATTGACTACTCGTGTACATAAAGATGCAAACAATAGACACTGGTGACTACTAGAGGGAGGGGGCAGGAAAGGGGGTGAGGGTTGAAAAACTACCTACTGTGTCCTGTGCTCGCTACTTGAGTGGTGGGATCATTCATACAGCAAACCTCAGCATCATGTAGTACAGCCACTGATATGGTCTGGTTCTGTGTCCCTACTCAAATCTCATCTTGAATTGTAATCCGAATTGTAATCCCCAGGTATTGGGGGAGGGACCTCGTGGGAGATGATTGGATCATGGGGGCAGTTGTCCCATGCTGTTCTCGTTACAGTGAGTGAGTTGTTATGAAATCTGATGTTTCTTTTTTTTGAGATGGAGTCTCACTGTGTCTCCCAGGCTGGAGTGCAGTGGCACAATCTCGGCTCACTGCAAGCTCCGCCTCCCAGGTTCACACCATTCTCCTGCTTCAGCCTCCCGAGTAGTTGGGACCACAGGCTCCCGCCACCACACCCGGCTAATT